TACGGCTGTAAATACCTGACAACGCTCGTTGCGTTGTCTGGCTCACTCTAATCCACACGCTCCTTACTCCGTTTATGGTAAACAGGAGCAGGATTCTTACATAGCGATACTCAACTGTATTAGTGGACTGTATAATTGAACGTTTCTCGTATGATTCTAATCTTGATTTTCCCTTGACTGCAGGGTTTGATTATTGCTGGGGTGGACAACAGGCGGAGGTTGTAAGGCTCCAAACGTTGTCTGCTCCGCGGCTCTTCACCGTTTCCTGGTCAGTACGGGACCGGTGTGATGCAGTCCCTTAACTGCGCAAGAAGCGACTGATTATTAAGGTTCTTACACCACGGTGTCCTTTGAGCGTCTTTCTACGTCTAGTGTCCGTACACACTGGCGATCTACAAACCACGCTCTAGCAGGCCAAAGTCTGCTGGGAGTCCACCCAGGGAATACGCCAAAAGGCTCCTATGTGAGTGTGATCCTAAGCACTGACTCGACCTTGGAGGACGGCGATTCCACCTAGGGAATACGCCAAGAAGGCCCCTATAGGTGAGTTTTAGCATCGTGCAATAATCAAGGGAAGATCGAGAAATTCTCTCGATTCCTCCTACACGGCCGATGACTAAAGCGGTACGTGCTTTCTACGCAACGGTGGCGATAATCAAACACTATTCGAGTGTTAATTTGATTATATTCAGCCACCGATTGCTTTTTTGGAAAGTAAAGAGAAAATTTTCCGTTTCCAGAATGAAACGGAAGAGATTGTTCACCGCAGAGATCGAGCTATTCACACAAAACCGTAAGTTACGAAATTCGACTTGGCGTGATTCTTTCGAATCCGCAGCAGTCTTGATTTCCGTTCCGTGTCGGTTTTGTGGTTCGACGATATAGTTACACGAATCTACCTAATCGTATATAGCGATCCGCGATATTGGACGAGGTCGGCTTTGGAGGTCCGAACTCGTCGAGAACCAGATAGCGAGTGATTGAAGAGACAGATGACATTCTTAACCGCGGCCACGAGAGGGAAAATCGTCGTCTCGCGGCGCTGTCTGATTTTCATTGTCTATCTCTTATTACCGTTGTATCCTCTCTTTATTTCGGCGTAGTAACACCCGTTCTCTGGGAACTGTTGCTGGGCCGATCGCGTGACTCTTATCAAAAGTAAAGGAGTATTTTTACGCGGTATTGCTCCCGAAACGTATTACGCCGCAGAGAAAGCTCTTAGAATGTCGTGTAAACTAGGAACAACACCGTACAAGAAATGGCTCGTTTCTTCTTTCGATCACGCGATGGTTTAACCGACGTTTTTCGATTGTCGAATTAACGCGATATTTAAACAATAGTAAAAAAATGTCTCTTTTTTAATAGTTAAAATATGATCAGACGGTCTTAAAACATTTATTCCGTAAAAAAAATTTTTGAAATTTTTTTTTATTATAGTATTTTGCTTATATGCGCCTACATACATAGGTCGAAAAATAAAAAATGCCTGGGCAGTCGAGATTCGAAATCACATGCCGATGATGTAAGGTCGAATTCAGCTGTGTGAGAGCAAGAAGGATAGACTCACATTCGCCGTCTTTCTCGAATCCCTGAAGTTATACGAAGCGCCAGAACTCATATACAAAGAGGTTGTGCATTAGTGTGTATAACTGGAGGGGCAGTTTCCTTTGGGCACGGACTGGCTTGCCGTCTGATCACTGTTCAACACGAATTTTTTTATTCCATGCCCACTAGGTGATTCTTGTAGAGCTCTGTTTCCTAAACACGAATGTGAAAATGGAATTACTGTATCACCCTCAGTTTTCGAAAAACACGAGTTTTTGTGAAAACGTCCAATTTTGGACAAAAACGAGGTATTACGCGAAAATTAAAAACATCAAACAGTTCCACTTAATCTTAAAAGTTTGAAAAAGTGTCGAAGTACGTTCTTTATACACAATACTTTTGCATATTTACGAAAAGTTCTTTACCTGACACGAAATCTATACACAGGATCTGATTCTGCAGACATTTCTGAAGAAGAAACTGTCCAACAGAAGTGTAGAAGCCGTTCTCAATTGTCACAGGTCGAGAAAATGTGTGTTGGCAACGCGTACACGACGTTTGACCGCCACGCGGCCATCGCTTGCCTATCTTGGCGCGGCAGTGCCGTAGCTACCTACAAGCGAAACTGGTATAATGGTGCAATAGGGTATGCACTCTGTATACAGGGTGTTCGGCCACCCTTGGGAAAAATTTTAGTGGGGGATTCTAGAGGCCAAAATAAGACGAAAATTAAGAATATCAATTAATTTAATATTAATAATTAATTTGTTGATGGAGGCTTCGTTAAAAAGTTATTAACAATTAAATTCAAAAATTTCAAATCGTTCTGGAAAAATTATTTTAGGTTGCGGGGTCAATTATAATCATTTTTGGTGAATAGACATACCCTCGAAATCCTACCCATTTTCTAGAAAAAAATTCAAGAAGGTGTGAAAGGACAATGTTAAGTCATAGAGGGGTTTACTGACCCAAGAGCGTACAGCCTATGCTATACACCGTTGGAAAGGTCTCGCCAAGGCGAATCGACTGATACCGTTTTTAACTTCGATATCAGATGGGATCATGTCGAAAAATGGCCTCAAAATTCGAGATTTTGCGGTTTTGAACAAAAGAATCCGGCCGTAAAAGCCCATCCGGCCCGAGGGACCTCGGGTAGGCACCTGAGGGAAAACCGAGCGGTGTAAGCGATACTCTAGCAGATTGGGACGGCAAATGTGCCCCACCACCTTCATTTCAGTGCCGTGTTGGGCCTGCGTTTGCCGCATGGGCCCCGTTCGAAATGCCCAGGGCGAAATCGCCAATGGATCAGTTGTTTTTCATGAACATAATATATTCATGATAGACGATTCGCAGGTATGAGTTGGGAATGTGCAGGTTAGTATTCAGTATTCACATCATTATGTTTCGTTCAATCAATAAAATGTCACTCCATTCACTATTGTAAGTGACGCATTAGTCTGAATACTAACCTGCACATTCCCAACTTATACCTGCGAATCGTCTATCATGAATATATTATGTTCATGAAAAACAACTGATCCATTGGCGATTTCGCCCTGGGCATTTCGAACGGGGCCCATGCGGCAAACGCAGGCCCAACACGGCACTGAAATGAAGGTGGTGGGGCACATTTGCCGTCCCAATCTGCTAGAGTATCGCTTACACCGCTCGGTTTTCCCTCAGGTGCCTACCCGAGGTCCCTCGGGCCGGATGGGCTTTTACGGCCGGATTCTTTTGTTCAAAACCGCAAAATCTCGAATTTTGAGGCCATTTTTCGACATGATCCCATCTGATATCGAAGTTAAAAACGGTATCAGTCGATTCGCCTTGGCGAGACCTTTCCAACGGTGTATAGCATAGGCTGTACGCTCTTGGGTCAGTAAACCCCTCTATGACTTAACATTGTCCTTTTTCGACGTAAAATAATAATTTCAAATCGTTCTGGAAAAATTATTTTCGATTGCGGGGGTCAATTACAATCATTTTTGGTGAATAGACATACCCCCGAAATCCTGCGCATTTTTGAGAAAAAAATTCAGTATAGGCGGAACTTTAAACGTTAATAACTTTTTAACTAAGCCTCCATCAACAAATTGGTGTTCTTGATTTTCGTTTTATTTTGGCTTCTAGAATCTCCCATTAAAATTTTTCCCAGAGGTGGCTGAACACCCTGTATAGTATGTTTGATTTTTTTTGTAACTTTTATTGCTTAATATATTTGTATACTCTAGGATACTAATCACTGAATAATATTTTCAAAATCCATGCAAACTTATCAATGGAATCACTCGAACATGTACGCTTTTCTTAGAAAGATCTGGAGTAAATCCTTGCTATTTACACTTCACTCTTAGGAATATTATTCCTATTCTGTGAGGCAACCCAACAATAAAATGTTGTTTATTTTTTTACGGCTTCATATTTAAAAAACCATTCATATACATACAATGAACATCGAAATTGTTTAGAAATGGAAATGATCGAGAAATGTTTTGTACAAATCCACAAACAGATTAAAAAATAAAAAATGATAAACATATACAGGAATTGGGAGCCTAAGATATTATCGGTGTCGCATCCATTATGCATAGCTACGGCACTGCCGAGCCGTGGTAGGCTAGCGATGGCCGCGTGGCGGTAAAACGCCGTGCACGTGTTGCCAAGACACATTTTCTCGACCTGTGACAATTGAGAACAGCTTCTACACTTCTGTTGGATAGTTTCTTCTTCAGAAATGTCTGCAGAATCAGATCCTGTGTATAAATTTCGTGTCAGGTAAAGAACTTTTCGTAAATATGCAAAAGTATTGTGTATAAAGTACGTACTTCGACACTTTTTCAAAATTTGGCGATCATTTACAACCGTTCAAAAGCACAAAATATTATAACTATCGATGTTAGCATATTCAGGAATCTCTCCTCTATCTTTTAAGATTAAGTGGAACTGTCTGATGTTTTTAATTTTCGCGTAATACCTTGTTTTTACCCAAAATTGTACATTTTCACAAAAACTCGTGTTTTTCGAAAACTGAGGGTGATACAGCAATTCCGTTTCCAGATTCGTGTTTAGCTCTATAAGAATTACCTAGTGGATATTGAAAAACAGAAAACAAAATTTAATTTGTAGAACAGTGTAATACTACACTGTCTTTTTCAATCCCTTCCATAGTCAACTCACATGTATTTACGCACACACTACAGCTGCTGCCCATCGATACTAATTCAGTGAATAGTTTTTCAACTGACCGCCATCCATGAAAGGAGGCCGCTAAAATCAACTCCGAATTTTCAGGTCGGTATGGCAGTCAGATTCAACCGCGAAAGTCCATAAGGTGGAAGATCTACGCGTATACCTCGTCTATGGTTTGGCGACTCCGCACCCTATAGGTGGCGACACCAATTGTAGTCGACCTGATCGCTCTACTGGCCACACTAGGTAAAATGCAATATGTCTACCTCGCGGGAGAAAAGTATTAATTATCGTTTTTAATTGTTTTATGTAGGCGGTTAATTGTACGAAAGTTCCTTATTAAGTTAGTGATTCGTAAATCATTTGACATGTAAAATGAGCTTTTCCGTGAAAAAAACAGGTGGTAGAATGTGGCATGAAGCGCGGAAACAGGAAAAGAAAATTCGTGGAATGCTAGTAGATTATCGCCGTCGAGCTGAACGTCGACGAGATTATTATGAAAAAATTGTAAGCAATAAAATAAAACAATACGAGTACATTGATTATATTTCAGTTATATAAATTAATGTTAAGTTTTTTAATATGTTGTAAAAACTGTAACTACGTTCCTTTTACTTGTTAACCTCAAAATCTACAGGTTAATAAGCTTTAAAATTTGTTAATTTAAGAATTAAACGTACACGCGCGTGCACACACACTCAATATATATATACATATATACAAATATACTCAGATAATACCAAAATAGGTGGTTCCACTTTAATAGTATATACTATTCTTCTTAAGGATAAAAAAAGGTCATATAAATATAGGTCTGGAAACCTTTCCTTGCTGAGATATAAATACGTTTTATTTATGGTAGAATATTTTAGGACTGCTTAAAACTTAAAGAAATTGTTGGAATCTATTATCTTCTACAATAATACATGATTCACATAGATATTTCTAAGCTTATCAAACATTTAGAAATTCTCTGCATATTCTGAATTTTGTCACGTCCAGTAATAGTGCAGATTTTGAGTTTTCCAGATTATCAATAATATTACTATCATAAACTAAACTTCATAGATATCTCTATAAGTCAAAAGTCAAAAAAATTAAGCTATAAAAAAATGCAAATAATAGGATTAGTTATTATTAAAATATTCACAAATAGTTTAACTGAAGTAAATAGAAACTCCTTTGTTCATAAACTACATTTGAGTGCGTATGGTCATAGTATCTCTTATAATATTGTTAAAAGTTTATAGCAATTATTATGCATACCACTTTGTCTATACTGTTGCCTCTTTTATCTATTTTCTCATATTAAGCTTTTCAAACAATAGAAATGCCAAAATAGATAGAATGACCTTGATAGATTAGTTTGCATGGTGATTATTAATACATTGTATTGTTTCTACCACGTTGTATTGCAAGTTCTACTCCATTATATATTTCTAACAAAAAAGAAATGTTTGTAATACTACATGTAACAGTTATTCGTGAAAAATTTTCGTTTAAATAAACACATTTATCTCTTGTTAAGGAAGAGGTTCAATTTAAAAAAAACATATGCTACTAAAGCTGAATTGCCTATATTGATATCAAGTTTAAATTGTAGCTGACGATTTGTCAGTAGATACTAGTAATAAATAATGGATAGAAGATGTTTGAAAAATGAATAAAAATCATATGTATCTATTTCTTTTATACAATTATATGTATATTTTTTTTAGAAATCAGATCCTACACAATTTCTACAACTTCATGGGAGACCATGCAAAATACATTTGGATCCAGCGATAGCTACAGCTGGTAATAGTCCTGCAAATATGTAAGTTAAAATGTACTTAATTTAATGTTAATGTTAGTATTGTTATTTATACATTAAAATTTGTATCTTCTACTTAAATTTATTAAAGGGATGCATAAATTTACTTTATACATAAAAATGTACTAAACTATATTTTACTCTATTTTATTAAAAGAGATTAAAAATGTTGATTTCATTCATTCGTTATATTCATTTTTGGTCTTATATGCTTCATTTATAGTGTGAAAATTGTAAATATGAATGATAGTAGTTATTAGAAATAAACTACTTTCCCCAAATCAGTAGAGATTTAAAAAATTGGGACAAGTTGTGGCTCTTTTTATAAAACATTCATAGTAGAAAAAGTTGAATCCTACTTCGACTTGTTTTTTAAATTGAACTATTCATTTTTTGTACATAAATCCATTTTCTTTATTATTTCCCATATAAAAGTCTTAAGGTATGAATATTTTGTATCTTTTGTTTATAAAATAGTTAAAATTTATTTCATTTTCTCGAATCACCTTGTATATTATAAAAATTAAAAAATTACTAAAAACTACTACCCATGGATAGATATTACTGAAAATCGAATCAGATTCTGATACGAGAATATGGAACTTAAATATAAATTGCTGTTGAAATATTTTCAACCATTTAAATCTAATTGTATTAATAGCATATCATTTAATGTACAAAAATTATATTTCAGTTACGCTGTTTTCAAATGTGTTTCTTCGTATAAAAAAAATAGTATTTTTAAATTGTTGTGCATAATAATGAAGTGTAATTAAATATACTTGTATTCTTTTAATTGTATATTTTTATACAAGTAAAATGTATGAAAAAAAAATAATTTTAGTATTATATTAATAGGATGCCATGGCAAGGAAATGAAGACAATCTTATTGACCGTTTTGATGTACGTGCACATCTTGATTGGATACCAGAAGCACCAGATTCTATTGATGTAGATATTGCTCTTACTAGTGAAGATAGACATATCAATTATGAACGCTATCGTATAATTGTTCAAAATGAATTTTTAGGAGGTGAAAAATTGTTTTGATTTTAATACTTAATTTTATTTTTGAAACTGCTTAATAAATAATAATTGTTGATACAGTAACAGAAGAAAAATTTCTACACCAAATACATTTGGAAGAACAGTTTGGTTCGTCTACAAAATTAGATTCTGCAAGAGATAAAAAGAAATCTTGTAATAATGTAGCTATTGGGTACAATTATGAGACGGAAGAACCAATACCAGAAACAATAAAATCATTAGATAGCATTGTATCAGAAGAAAAAGCAGATGATGAAGATAGTGATATTGATTTAGGTATAAATTATTTTTGTTAAATAAATGCTACAACTTTGTACATTACATAACACAGACAATATATTTCAATTTTTCCAGATATTTGTGTAGATGTATCTCAGATAGAGCCATCACAAGCACACGAAATGAATTTAGTAGCTCAAAAATATGGACTTTTAGGAGCTGATTATTTTAGTTTCTTAACGCAGGATTTTGAAGAAGCCGAGACATTAAGACAAGCACGTAAACAGGAAGAAGAAAAAGCTATGTACTCGGTAAATTATTATACCATGTATAATAATATTTCATTCTAAATTTTCTTTTCTTATATTTTCGTGATAACTTTGTATAATTATATTATTACATGATAGATAGATTTTATTTTAATTTCAGCCTTACGGTCAAGTAATGGACTTAGTTTACTCTTTATTCCTCAATGATACAAACACTCATTCCCTAACGTCTTTATTATCTTCGTACTCTAAATTACTTTTAAATAACATTTAGTATATAATTTTAGTTTTCACATGATCTTAGGTATTACATTTGGCTTTATTGCGTTCTTAGCATCTCTTTCATTATGACTTCATTTATCTTCATTGACATTTCCGTTGTCTCTTCATTGTTATAAACCATAACCACTTTCCATAACTTGTTCCTAATTTTCATTTTTCTCTCTACTTAACCTTCTATTACTCGATTTCTTCAACCTCAATCTCAGTATCTTCAGGCTTCCTCGTTCTGGTTATGATTCTTCCTCTCAATCTATCTTTTTTATTTTGCGTTCTTTGTGACTTATAGATATTCTTTTGGTAATCTATCTTTTACTCTCTGTCTTCTTGCTCAACTATCGATGTCTCTGTTAAACCCACCATATTAAATTTTTCTACATATCGCTAAAATTAGTAAATTAAAAACCCTGCAACATTCCAGAATCACATCTTCCTCTCCCTCTTCTTTACCGATTCCTCTCATTTTTTCTTGCTTCTTTTCTGGACTTTCGGCTGGAAGTTTATCGAAAATCTCGCTTTTTATTAAGTTTTTCTTGTCTTTCTTGCCAATTTATCCATTTTCAAACAATGCTTAGTTTCTGAAAACCCATTTTTACTTCTTTTTTTTTCTATCACCTTTTGCAACTACTCTAACTGTTCTCTATATTTCCTTTTTTGAAATGTCATGTCATAATCGATGAATATGTTGCTACCTCGTAATCTGCTCTTGTTTTCCATGACCTTTTGCTTATCTACCCATCTGTTCAATTTTACAATACTATCTTATTTTTGTAACTTCCTATTTTCCTACCTTCTTTGCTCAAACTGTCTCACTCCTTACATTCAATTGATTTTCAAAAAATTGCCTTAATGTCCTGTTCTTGTAAATTTTCTCTATCGCGCTTTAATTATCTAACAACCATATTATTTTTCCTCTCGTTTCTCTCTTTTTCCCACAAATTTTCTTACTTTATCTAAATCTCCTCTCTTCTCCCATTCTGTTTTTTGTGTACATCTCCTGTCTTTATTTTTTCTTCCAGTTCAACTATTTTCTATTTTCTACTCATTCTCTTACAACCCTTTTTTTCTTCAGCTTCCAACCATTTTACTTTCTCCTCTAACTCTCCTATTCTCTTCTTTACCTCTTTACTGTCTTCCTTCCACACTTTCCCTTTTTTTAGTACTATTCTTCTCAGTTCCAGTATTTCTTCTCTGTTGTCCGTATTTATCATATTTATCTTTTTTATTTATTTTTCTCATGGTTTTTTACTTCCTCTATCAGACTTTTTAGCAATTTGACTATCTCTATCTTACCTGTTTCCTCTACAACTTTTGTCATCTTACCTAGGTATGTTTGTTTCCCGCTTTTTCAGTCTTGGCTTCTATCTCTTCATCGGTAATTTCTTTTCCTTTTTCTTCATCTAATTGTTTGTAGGAATCTACTTCTCTTTCTATTCATTTTACAAAGTCTTCCAATTCTCCTCTCACTTTCTTCAGTTTTTCTGCCTGGTTTGCTTCCGTTGGCCTTCCTCTCCTTTCTCTTTTATTTTCTTCTTTCCTCCAAGCAAGGCTTTTTCCTATCCCTTATTCTACTAATTCCCTTTCCTCTCTCTCTCTCTCTTTGACACAATCTCTTATTGCTCATCCTGCACCTTCTGTTTTTACCATCTTGAACTCTTTTTTCCCCCTCCTACTCTTCCTTAGTCCCAGAACCACGCTACCTTTAGAGACCCCTTTTCGATACTTTATTTTATCACGCAACTTATTCTTTTTCTATTCGTATTTTTTACTTCTGTTTACTTTATGTTTTTATCCGTTTCTAATGTTACCGCTTTTTTCCTTTTTCTTTCTTATTTTTCTACAAATTTCCTTTCCTCACACCGTTCATTCTCCAACAATACACTCTATCCCGCGCCCTCTAACCAAATCTCTTATTACATGATGATATGTTTATGTTATACAGGGCAGAAGGTCACGTAGAGAAAGACGTGCATTTAGAGAAAAAAAAATGATTGGCAGAGTTATGAGTCCACCCAGGTAAATATTTATATTTTGGAAACAAATTTGTCTTTAAAATCCATATTATTTAAATTGACTGATAATTTAGTAAATATACTTTTAACATTTTCTGACCAATTTACTAATTAGTTACGCAGCAAGAGAGAGTCCTGAATACAATCCTTATAGAAAATCTTCGTCTAAGTCTCGTTCAAGATCTGTATCACCTATAAATGCTGGACAAATTACTTACATTACAAGTTTTGGCGATGAAGAAGAGACTCATGGAAGTTCATCCCATGTTACTTCCTCCAGTTCAAGAAAAGTCAATTACGCCCATCTCAGACGAAGAAGATCAGACAGCCCAACGTTAAGCGAAAGAACAATTAACAGAAAACTTTCAAAATCGAGGTCAAGAAGTTGCTCTCGATCTGTTAATAAATCTAAATCCTACAGAAATCGTGAAAGAAAACGTAGCATGTCAAGAATGAGGCAAGTTTATTCATATTTTATAATTATGCTTATAAGGGGAAACCACAATAATCGGGTGGAGTAGCTCAATGAAACTTTTTGAACCTGTTGCTCAGCCATAAAAAAATTATATGTGTTTCGGCGTTTGTGCCATTGGGCCTTATTTATATAAGATAAAAATATTTAAAATTGACACTATGAGTAGCGCGCCATATAAGTCTTAAGCGTGAAAAGTTTTCCAATGGATATAATTGGCACAATAGGAAAGTGCTTTCAGACACGGGTGCAATTCCTTCGACTCATTCAAATCTGTTTTTTTAGTTTTTTTTACGATTATTATACAGTATATACAAATGAAATAACTTTCAAATTAGAATAAAAAGTGTGTCTTGAAACAACGAGTATTTATAAATAATGAATATAAAACTCCGATTGTAATGCATTTTATATTTGTTTTAATTTATAATTTGTGTTTTATCACAAATAACTAATAATTTCTTGTAATGAACGAAACTAAATTAAATTAATAATAAGATATATCTATTTCGTTTATAAATAGTAATTTCTTTCATACAAATAAGTATTGTATAAATATTAAACGTAAAAAACTAAAAAGAACAAAAGGAGAAAATAAATTTGTAAATGTCGAAAGAAGCAAACCCGCGTCCTAAAGTGTCTGAAGCTTTTTTTTTAACGATGTTTATTTTTTCATAAGGTTTTTGGTACATAGCGTGTGTATACAAGGTTTGTGACGACGGAAAAAGAGACATTGAAAAAAGAACAACTAAACGTTATTGGTGTGCTTGTTAAGATCACATGATTGGCTTGGGTCCTAGCGCATTAGTATCATTTGGCAAACTAAAAATTACTAACAAAGGAATTTGTTTTATTCCGACTAGGTCTCGGTGAGGGACAGGGTATTTAATAAAAATTATTCAATGGCTTATTGGCTGAAATCTTGTGGAGAGTGAGGAACAAAATAAACGTAGTTCATGTCAAAACCCCGGTCGTCTATGTATTGTATATCGTATACCGATACTTACTGACTAATGCTTACTTAAGAGGACTTAATTACTTATATCTAGTATTATTTACCATATACAGGGTGTTTGGCATCTACAAAGAAAAAGTTTAATGGGAGATTCTAGAGATCCAAATAAGATGAAAATTAAGAATACTAATTTGTTAATTGAGGTTTCGTTAAAAAGTTATTAACATTTAAAGTTCCGTCTGTAGAACGGCAATCTGCGAAAAGCTGCGTACGCGCTGTAGATTGCGACAGGTCAGTCCTATTGATTTTCATTCAGCATGAGAAACTGTACTTATTGACGTATCGATATTATTCGTAAGTGTCCATGTGTTCGCATGCCGCGATTACTCCGGCTGCGAGGGTTAGTTCCACATTCTACGAGTTAAATACTAATAGAACTGTTACTAAAATTTAAAATGTAAGAAGGAGTCTAACAACGAACGAAATTTTCACATTTGTTTGTGTTCATGTCGAACTATGTAACACGAGTAGCAGCTGACCCCGTCTTCGATCGACGTGGTTCAGAGAAACAAATGCTGATCAGGCCCAATATCCTAACGTCAGAGGTGCTCATTATGCAGAGTATAACACAATTTAACCAAACACAAAAGTCTATTGATTTGCTATTTTCAATTAAATAAATCAATTAAATAATAAAATAAAATTTAGTTAAACTATTTTTCTTATAAGAAATTTCAATTTTAAATCAAATTGTTTGCTAATATAGAATCAGAGTTTATTCGATCAGTGGCTACATTTTATGCACCACTCCAAGTCAGCGATCGCCAGTTTTTTTGACAGTTCACATGCAATGCTTTCTCTTGGTTTTAAATTCGGTAAATATCATAAAACCCGCGAATCTAAACATGCTGCTACATCTCCCAACAAAATTAGCTGCTAGTTACATTGTTCGACATCAATGCAAGTAGATTCGAAAATTTTGTTTATCGTCGAATTTCTTTTCGCATTTTTAAATTTACGCATATTTGAAAATTGAATAACGGTTCCATTTGTATTTATTTACTCGAAGAATGTGTTATTTAATTACATAGTGATTTGTGCCTGAAAGGATTATTTCTGGACACTCGCGAACACTAGACAATCGTGGTGTGTTTATGCTCGCGTGTGGGTGATTTTTTGTGCACAACATCTCATTCAACATAACGTGTTTGTGTTCCCATGAGTTGGCATAAAAATGTAAGACTGTCGATAGATCGATAAATAGAGTTTCTCATGCTAAGTGTGAACCACTAGAGCCGACTTGCCACAAGCATGCAGCTGTTCGAAAATTGTCGTTTTACAGGCGGATCTTTAAATGGTAATGACTTTTAAACGAAACCTCAATTAACAAATTACTATTCTTGATTTTCGGCTTATTTTGGCCTCTAGGATCATCCCACAAACTTTTGATATATGTATAGATACCAAACACCCTTTATACATATACTTTGCCTCTTGTTATTTGCTCGGTCATCCTATGACTCCTGACTCCTGATCCTTCTGATGTTGAGGTCGCCTGCTAATATGTATGGATTGTGTTGTTGGTCTAGTTTGAGTTTGGTGAATGGGTTGTTTAGTTCATTGATAAATTTTCTATTGTCGTTGGTGGCGTACGTACTGATTATGTATAAATTTGTGCTCAGTGGTAGTTTGAGCCTGAGTGTATATTCGAGTATTTTATTGAGTTTTAAGGATGTGAAGTGTATTGTGTCATGTTGTATGTTGTCTTTTATTTACTTTGAGTTGCATTGTGGCAGTCTGTTCTTGCTAGGTTATAGTTCTTGAAGTTGAGTCTGTTTGATTGTTTAGCTTGGTTTTAGATAATAGTATTACAACGAAGTTGTTACGGTTTATAAATTCTTTTAAGTCAGCTTAAGAAAAGCTTATGTGAGGGATGGCTGAACGGTTTATATTTGTTATGGCTCTCTGGAAGAGTGGAATTAATCTTCTCAGTATTTGCATTCACCTGTTGTATTATATTGTTCAGCTGCGTGATTATAATGCTTGCTAGCTCGAATTCTACTCCCACCGCATTTCCACTCAATCGCAGGCGCCTTGTCACCAGCTAACGCAGCTCCGTGACATGGGACTAAGCCGTCGGCCACAGGACTCACTCGCGGCCAACTGGCTAACCTGTGACCTTAGGTAGAACCCGCGGAAAATATCCCATGCCCCAGCCTACTCACACAAACATTCATAACAGTATGTGGTCCGCGGGAGCTTTCGCTCCAACCTCCGGAATGCCATGTGAGGATGTGGCCACCAGCCCTTTCAGACCGGATGACTCCATTCTTGCATGCCATCTCAGCTTCCCCTATCTGCCATCTAGAGACACGCCACGTTAGGGGTTCACCTGTACCGCATGGACAACCAAACGGGTACATGGATTTTTTGTCACTGACAAGTTTGTTTTGTCGGCGAGTTACTGCCCGACTTTGTTTGGTTGTAAACTTTTGGAACGAGTAGTCTTTGTGAGATACTTGGTGCTCGTGTTGATTGTTGTTCAGGAAACAAATCACGCATGTTCCTCTGGCCAACTCGGGTTTTTTCTGGTCCTTTATGTTGCCAGATGCAGGATCGGTACTACGTTGCGAAGGTCTTCGAGTCTCCCGCATCTGGCAAATTTCATAGTCAAAAAGAAAAGAACTCCGTCAAAATGAAAACGCTACACCCGGGTTAACCAGTGAAGGGATATATTGTTCCACGGGTAGTACGGTCGTCGAGGCCAAATGCAGGCACCGATTCTTCTTCCGACACTTCAACTTGGGGAGGAAACCTCGGCACCCTCGCCAGGGTGGCTTGGGACTTTTCTTCACCACTGGTTGTGAGGGAGGTGTTTCCTGTCCCTGCCTCCTCTCCCAAGTCAATGAGGCAAATCTGCAAACACCCCCAAGTGTACCTGTTGGAGGGGATCCAAGTTGTGGAGGAAACGGATTCTGGACACAAGACGCATTTTTACCTTGTTTTTTGGTAGAGTAACCATCTTTAAGAAGACACGCAACAAATTGTAGGCCGTGAAGAGTCAGTCATTTTGAACGCATTTTGTAACATTGAATGGGAGAAACAGTTCTTTCTATATTTCACCGCGCTTATAGTAACACAGTACATACAGTCCACTTGTTATTGTTATCAAATGAATGTTTCCAAAAAGTCATATATTCATTTCAATCTCGGCCACGCACATTCGAGCGCGAACAATTGCAGTTCGCGCATTTGTGTTTCTGTCTAATTAGGCAGTTATTTGCGTATTTGTTGCCCACACTAGACTCTTGAAACAAACACTTTACTGTTGTGTCAATCATATCCTTAGGAAACATTTTCATGCTTAAAGCACATATGCAGCGCAACGCATAGTGGATAATGCAAATTTTTTCCCCTCACTAAGTAAGGCCCAGTAATGCAAACACCGAGATCCGTATATATTTTTTTTGGCTAAGAAACAGGTTCAAAAGGTTTCATTGAGCTACTCCAACCGGTCATTGTGGTTTCCCCTTGTTAGTATATTCTCAACTAATAGGTGATTTTCAGATCAAGAAGGACACGATCGCGACACAGAAAAGTTACGAGATCTCGAACTCGAAGTCGTTCGAGACGATCGCGAACTCGAAGTAAATCTAGATCTCGTTGCCGAAGTTTTAGTAGATCTCGTTCACGTACTGTTTCAAGATCCAAAACAAGATCTAGATCTCGTTCACGTCCAAACAGGTCTCGAAGTTTATCTTCGAGTAGTATATCTAGATCAAAATCAAAATCAAGATCAAGATCAAGATTACGATCAAATTCAAGATCTAAGTCGCACAATAGAAGTCATTCAAGAGATAGTTATCGACGAAGACATTATTCTCCATCGAAGTCAGAATCTAAATCTCGATCCAGGACTAAATCTCAATCTAGATCTAGATCAAGAAGTCAATCTAGATGCAAACGATCTCGAAGCGTTGAAAATAAAGCTCCAACACTGCCAAGGTATGAGACATATTTCTGTTAATCTACAGTTGCGTCGAAAAGTAAATTAATAATCAGTGTCGTACGTAAACATAGAAGAAACGATTGAGATAATATGTTTGATGAGGTGATTCTTGCATTTGTACATTTAGTTGATGTACAATGAACAAATGATTGTACAGAAATAGCATAATATTTTACAATTAAAGAGAGAGAAAATAAAGTATGCAATGCGACTACAATGATAATGTAGAAAAGTAAGTTAATGCTTCTTACTTTTTCTAATATTTTGCAATAAATTATATCTTAATATTTTAAATGATAACCTTTTGCGGCTATAACGGCTCGTAGACAGTTTAGTATACTCTAATTAAAATTTTTTATTTCATTTGGGCTAATATTGTTCAACTGCTTAAACAAAGTATTAATTTAAATTATTTTATTAGTTGTCTCGTTTTCGGACACATTTCCCTTTAAATGATCCCATTAGTACTTGACGCGATACAAATTCGGACTTTGCGTGGGCCAGTTCACTACAGTTATATTGTTATCGTCCAAAAATTTAATTGTTATATTTGCTTTGTGTTTAGAATCATTGTCTTGTTGAAAGATGTATTCCCTTTCCAATTCCATTTTATGTGTCGAATCGAACAAATTGTTTTGCAGAAATGCAGAACTTGACAACCGTCAGTCATAACAAAGTTTTCCACACCATGCCTAATAAAACACCCTTAGGTCATAACAAAGCCACTTCCATATTTAATAACTGTTTTCACATGTTCCCTTTTAAAATTATCGCTGCTTTTCTTCCAAAATTATCACTGCCTATTATTATTACAAATTTCAAATTTTATCTTGTCAATCCAAATAACAGATTCCCAGAACCCAATTGGATTCTTTAAATATTCAGTTGCAAATTTTAAGCGTTTTTGTAGATTCTTAAGAATTAGAGGTTTTTCCTACAACATATCATTGAAAGCTTCCTTCACATAGACGTTTCTTGATTTGTGTTAGTCCTATTGGTAGTTCTAAATTTTCTTTTATTCCCTTAGTTGTAAATAAAGGTCTATGTTTTATTTTATGAACAATATGATTGTCTTGACGTGGTGTCGTTTTGCGTTTATTTCCAGTTCTTGGCATGGATTCAGCAAAATCCATCTCTTCGATACTGTCACATATTTCTTAAATTCCAACTTTAAATAGATTGAAGTCTTTTGCAAGAATTTTCAATCTTTCTTCAGCAAATTATTTTCCTCTTTACACCATGTTTAACAAAATATTAAAGGTCTCGTTTTAGATTCAATTTTTGATACTGATAGAAGTACTATAAGTATTTTAGTGATATTCAAAAAGAATGCAAGAATAAATATTGCAATAGACATCTACTAGAAACGAAGAATTATATAATTGTTAACTTACTTTTTGATAATGAAATGTGCTCTTTCAAGATTGTTGACTCTATAACTTGGTGAATTTTTTATTGAAACGAATGCCAATAATATTGAGGGATCAATATCAATTGTTTTAGTCAAGACTATTATTATTGGTACATCCAATAGATGACATATTATTTATCAATACATCAATAACTTCACGCAAGGCGTTAATTTACTTACTAACGCAACTGTATATTTTTCTTTTTCTTGGTGATATCAGATATTATGGCCGACGTGGAAAATCGTCAAGCCTAGAGCTAGAATTGTCGGATAGTGAAGACAAAGTCCCCATGGCAGCACCAAAACCAATGGTTATTAACATCACGAGCATGTAAGTTTATTAATAATACTACCCAATGAGAACTTTGATTTGCAGTATCTACTTAGTGAGTCTTGTAGGCCCTCTCGTCTCAAACATAAAGGGTTATAGCCGAATAAGGGGGTCAAATGTACCCCTGAACCAAATTTAGAATGAAACATTCTATTCCAAGTTTCAACCCTCTATCTTGTTCGGAAGGGTAGGTGTAGGGAAAACTCAGATTATCGAATTTGTACCTATTTTTCGTATTTAATTAAGTACGAAAATTATGTAAAAAATCTGGTGCATTATGGTTATCGAGATGTGTTCAAAATTTTTTTCGATATTTCGATTCCAAATTCTAGTCGTGAAAAATTAAAAACGAAGAAAATGACGGATTTCGTATTGACGCATTCGAGACACTAAATTTATATAATTACTGTAAATGCGTATTGTCATTGGTTCTGTTCCTGAATTGTTTCAGATTCTTTGGTAAGGTGCGCCGTAGTAACAAAAATCAAAAATCGATTTTTTCGACGTTTTTCGCGTGAAAAAGCAACTTATACTTTGAATTTTTGTATTCCTTTTAATAGATAACTATATTCTATGGTTTTAAACATATCTATGTTGAGCAGAACGATGTATAGAATAGAAAAGCAAAAATATGTCACCAAATAAAAGATGCTATGCATGTTATATTTAAATGTATCAACGGTATTTCTAAGAGGTACGATGGTGCAGTGAGTAAGATGCTTGACTGTGGATACGCTGCAAACTTTTTGATGCGGGTTCGCGCCCCGCTTAAAGCACATCCTTTTTTATTATATTAATTATATATTTTTTCAATTTCCAACTATATGACAATGAAAATCTATTTAAAATATTTAAAAAATATTTTCACCTATAATATGCACAAAAACAATTATGGAGCAGTTTCTATTTCATCGTTTCTCTAGCTGTGTTTTCGCTTAAATACCCTACTGTCTTATTTTTTCTACGTTAAATGAATATACAAGCTTAGTTTAAAAATCTCATACCTTTAATAACTCTGAATAGAGGAATCAATTTCTTCAATAAAAAGAACATAAGCAGTCTTTGCATATAGTTACGGATATCATGATGACAAGGTTTATGATGTACACGATTCTCCTAGTACAATATTTACATCTATTTACAGATTAAATTTTCTCTATGGGTATATTTCCCTGAGTTTTCCCTATACCTACACTTCCGAACAAGATAGAGGGTTGAAACTTGGCACAGAATGTTTGATTCCGGTGCTCTATCGATGAATTTGTCGTATGTCAAATTTGGTTCAGGGGCACATTTGACCCCCTTATTCGGCTATACCGTTTAAAAGTGTGAGTCTCTTGCCAGACAGATTCGAACATTTGTAACTGCATATAACCATTATATGTATATGAGGTATAGAAAAGATGCATAATGCCGGGAATGCACTGAAGAAAACAGATCGCAAGCAGCTCATGTACTGCCTGTAGGTAGTTTGTGGGTTGTTCGTCAACGGAAGCAGCCGCGTTTCCACATTGGAGCTCACAAACAGCTTGCGAATAGTTATAATCTACGCAAACTTTGAGTTTGCGAGTCTCCACACTACTGGCGAGCACAGCTGCGAGCTGTTCATGAACAGCAGTACATTTCCGGCATAATACTACGATTGTTTTGGTTTTTTGTAACTGTTCTACTCACCTTTATGTAACAAATTGAAACAGTTATTTCTGGTAGAGTTTCAGACTCTGTTTTTAATATTTCAGGAACAAACCAAAAGCTGGGTTAAGTACAAATTCTGGTGGCGGACACAAAGTCAGTAAGAACCATAACGCTTACTTAGTCACTTAAAGCACAGAGAATAAAAGACAGTATATACTCTCTATATAAACTACCCTCTCAACGAAGAACCTCAGCAAGTGCTACTTGTTTTCATTTTGTTGGGCAATATACGGCGCTTAGATTATATTCTTTGCATTTTGATGTTTCATTTTAATTTATTTTCATGTATATGTTAATAGAAATTCACAAAAGATTTAAATTTGTATTATAATCTCAATTTTCATTGTTATAACAATATGAAATTATTAATTTTATAAATTAAATTTTATAAAATTAAATAAGTACATTTGTATTTTTATAACTATATAAAAGGAATTTTTTGCCAAATTTCTTTACTTTTATTATCAGCATTATGAGAATGAAAACATCAAATTTTTTGTGATATGATTTATTTATTTTGTAGAAATAGTAATGTAAGAGGGTACTTCATTATAGAATATATCTTATAATGAAGTACTTTTTTATACGGGGTGTTTTATAACATAGTTCTTCGGTAGTGGTTAGGGAGTATACAAACAATGAAAAGAGTTCATAGAAACATGTACCTAATTTGATCTTTGCTTTGATCGATAGCTATTTATTCAATAATATATATTTACTTACTTTTTCGATTGCGAGGCACTAGTTAAGTACAAACGATATTTTCAATGCATCGTTGTATCTTTTGAATTGCGGGACAATACAATCATAAAATGACACATGGTCGAATGAGTACGACGCAGTCGATTATTGAAATTGACTTTTTTAATTAGAAACAGCGTTTTGCATATGCTTTGTTTTGGAAGAATACTTGCTCTCCTTGCTCTAAAAATTAAAAGGGTCAATCGGATCGACGAAATTCAGAAACTAATTACCAAAACTTGCGATACGAAAAGTCTACGAAAGTACTTCGAACAGATAGTCTATCTATGATCGTTGCAAGGAGAAAATGACAATATCCATAGTGCAATCGAACCACGTTTCATTTGATTGCAAAGTTAGTGCAACAATAGTGTCACATAATTGCATACATTCGCCATCAATACTTGAAACAATCACCCAATATTAATTTGGCAGGTAATAGTCGCGACTAAACGCGTCCACGACGACCAATCTTGGGCCTTACAACTAATAATCCCTATAAGGGTTGTGTTAAAATCGCATATCAAATGCATGTCTGTTATTTTCTGGTTCGAATACTTCATTATTTTTTCTAATACGTAACAAATTAATTAATTATTAAGTGATCTCAAAAAAATGTACTAGTGTGACTCATAAAATAGAATAATCGACGTAGTCGGAAAATAGCAGAGTTATCGAATATTGTATGCAAATAGTTTGATAAAATCAGTTGCACTATGGGTCTGTGATAAATGGGTTTGTGATTAAGAATTATTGAAGCACAAAAAGGCAATAACTTAAGATCAAAGTTAAATAAGGCATATGTTTATATGAATTTTTTTCATTGTTTTTATGTCCCCTGTCTAATACTGAAGTAGATACTATACGTTACGGAGCACTCTGTATATTAGGTCATATTAGGATATATTAATAGGAGATGTGGCAGCATAACAAATTGTCTGAAATTTTAACATAAATTTTATTGTACAATATATTTGAGAAACGCAGAAGAACTATATTATGTTAAACATAAAACAATGCATTAAAATACAAAAAATAAAAACGAGATATTTCATAACCCGTATTTAACGTTATAATATAATATATACATATATATAATTTATAATTTATTATTAGAGTAAAAAACTTATTTACATCACCTTTTGTTTCGTTGATTTTGTTGAATTTGCTGCTATTAAGAGTTTTGTAATAAATGAAGGGAATGAGTATCTGTTAATGCAATGTCCAGAATATTGTTATAATGAAAGTTTACACGTTTGCAATTATCTATATAATACATTTTTATGACGCACACATTTTCATTTTCTTTTACAACACAATTTGAAAAAGGTCTAGACTTTTATCGTGCAAGGGGTAAAAACGAATATGAAAACTGTATAATGATTTGTAAAAATCTGTAACTATCGAATTATGAAATCATTTCGAGATTATAAATCGTTTACAATGCTATAGATCGATTGATACCAAGTTTTTGACCAGTTTCTCCTATTGTTTAATATGGATGATTAGTTATAACTTAGACTAGAATTGTAATTCTCTATTCATTTTGGATGGTCGCCTGAAATAAAATTGATCTTTAGTCAATGTATTTTTTTGCAAAATTTTATAAACTAAAAACGTTTTTCGATATTCAACAAATTTTTTTTATTAACAGTTTTCTTATAATAAACTAAAATATTTATTACGGCTTGTACTGCATTATTATCTTTGATAAACTCATACAAAATCCATGTCTATACATCTTGCCAAATGATACCATAAAAATGAAATGCGATTATTTTTCTATTTCTAATTTGTAACTAGATAATAATAAAATTTTTAAGTATTCTTTTAAACAGATTTATAGCCGCTTATATACATGTCGCTTTAATAAACTAAGCGTTTATTCAGTATGTCCTAAAAATAAATTAAATTACAAATTTAACAAATTATGTTATCAAGTACAGTGAAATTTATATTAAAATCTCGGATAAATTTTATGTTCGATAACATATATTATAAAAAAATTATGATAATCGATAACAGATTTTTAAGAGTTGCATTTTTCAGTCATTGAAAATCACACCCCAAGAGCGGCTTAAGAAGAAAATGCAAGCTTTACTGAATAAACAATGTAAGTACAATCTCTCCAAATTTAATTGTTGACATGTTCTTGTAATACTATGACTATATTTAACAGATAAAGCTGACAAAAAGGCAGAACAACTCAGGATTGAAAAAATGGAGCAGCAAAGACAAGACCGAGAAGATGAAATTCGGGAAATGTCCTTGAAATTACGTAGAAAGTACGCTGTTTTCATTCTTATTTCATATATTGCAATATATTAACATAATAACAACATTTTATCAGCGTATATCTTTCTATAATTATGTTACCGTGTGTTAATAATGTTTAGGCAAAGAGAACGGAGACACCGTTATGAAGGTCATAGTTCTGATTCACATTCCTCTGTATCGCGCACACCAAGTCCTGGGCGTAGTCCACGAATCGTGCGTCGAGAAAGAAAAGGAAGAGATACGAGAGATTTCGAAAATGATCGTGAACGAGAAAGAGATAGAGAAAGAGATAGGCGTGATGATAGAGAAAAATTTAGAACCGAATCTCGTCGAAGATACAGAGATTCGCCACTTCGTTCTTTAAGTCCAAGAAGTAGCCGGTAAAAAACAAATGATTGTTACAGTATATTATATTTAAATTTAAGCTGGTTTATTGTTATCTTTAAATTGTGTACTCTTTTAGCGGCCTAGTCGATTATTGACAAGAGAATAGATGGTTAATCTTCCATTTGATGGATTTAAAACTTTATTAGACTCTTCCTGTATTGCATTCCTTCCGTAAAATGTTACGAATGTTTTAAGAAAGTGCGATAAAAAATAATACACGATACAAATTGTATTCTTAAGTATTCTTTACTATTAATTAATATTGTTCAATCTTACAATATAAAATAAAAATACAGATGTTTATTTACGTGTATCGTTATTGTTAAATGTAAACTTTATATTTTGTAATATAAGATGTGACGAGCGTCTCAACTTAAATAAATTATACAGTAACTTAACCCTTAAACGATAGACGATTCTGGTGCAAATGAACAATAGTGACCAGTTTAAAAAACACGTAGTACTTTTTATTTGAACGCATTTAAAAATAAATTGATTAATTATTAATTAATAGCAGTAATAGTTAGATTTATCTTGTCTAATATCATATTGAATACTGCTATTGTCTCGATAAAAAGAGCGTGAGACAACATTAACTCCTTAATTCTTAGATTCAACAAAATTTTATTCGCATCATACACAATGAAAAAACCAATCTATAATTTATACGGAACGTTTATTCGATTCAACAGTAAAATTTATAGCTATTTCATTCTATAATTTAAATTTAAATTTTGATGCAATGAGTAGCAAATAAACATTTGTTTGTCTTTTATTTATTATTTGAAATTTTCATCTAAATAAGAATTTTGATAGCAGATTAAAGCGAAGTTTACGAATAAATTATTTTAAGAACACTACCTTTTTGTTCTTACATAATATTTTCTAAGCTTATATCGAGAAATTAAATATCAATATATTTATTTAATTATTTCATAAATAATAAATACTTTTTTTATTTGTATGAAGCATTTTATATGATAACACTTATACAGGTTATTCGACCAGCTCTGGGAATAATTTTAATGGGAGATTCTAGAGGCCAAAATGAGACGAAAATCAAGAATACCAATTTGAGGCTTCGTTAAAAAGTTATTAACGTTTATAGTTCCGCCTGTAGCATGTGGCATATCAACAGCCTTACAGTTTTGTGAGTGAGAATTACTATCGCGCGTACGCAGCTGTTCGCAGATTACCGTTCTATAGGCGGAGCTTTAAGCGTTATTAACTTTTTAACGAGACCTCAATCAACTTGGTATTCTTGATTTTCGTATTATTTTGGCCTCTAAAGTCGTCCATTAAAATTTTTCCCAAAGGTGGCTGAACACCCTGTATGTAGATCGGAAAGTAAAAATGCTCGACAGTCGAGACTTGAAATCGTATGCCAATTGTCACATGGTCGGATTTCAGTTGTTGTAAGAGCGAGAAGGAAAGGCTCACACTCGCCTTCTTTCTTAACTTCCCGAAGTTGCACGAAGTGTCGAGCCCATGTACACGCGGCCCGTGCAGTAGTGTGTGTCTGTTTTCCCCACCACTCCGTTAAACACCAAAGGAAGTTCGTCGTTACTAGCGTCGCCGTCAATGCACCCAATTATGCCAAATCTGGCGACACTGCGCCCTAGTACAAGCAACGAGCGTGATGGAACTATCTAAACTTGCCTTGGTTATTAATGTAAAACTAATTTGATTAAACATTAAATCAATGACAATATTAATTTAAACAATTCTGCCTAAACGATGTAATGTTGAATTGTTTTGTATCTGTTTGTTTTTGTACGAAAGTACATAGGAGCATGTCCTTGTTTTATACTATATCTGAAATCTGTTAGTAACTAATATGGCGGAGTAGGTACATGTTGACTTTTCGAGTTCCGGACTTCACGGATTCAAATATTTCTACATAATAGAATTTAGAAAGAATCAAGTTAGTTGTTATTTACTAATATTATCGTCGATATACATTGCAACTATCATTGATGTCATATGTTGTGTACTTAATTATATTAAGTATTATTAACAATAAACGCGTACGTTATTCATTAGATCAATCTACTTGACAAACAACTAATTTCAGTTTTTAAAGAGAAAGTATTGTAAGCGTTATTTAAAAAATGAAAAAGTACAGAATTTTTTAAATTATTTCGATTCTAAATAAAGATAGTACGAGTTACGTAATGAAAGTGTTTATATCAATTTTGTGTATTCCATCGAAAGGTTAAGAGGTGTGTTTATTTTTTGAGATTTAAAGTTATTAAAAATACTTATAATTTTATTAAGTATATAACCTACAATAAGAAATTATGTGTACTCGATAAAGTGAATCATTTATCAGAATAGTATATTCGATTAAAATTCATTTTTTAAATCATTTCTATGATTTTCAAAGTTCAAACTTTATTTCATTTTACGAATAAAAAAATTAGTTTTATTAAATACTTAATATAAAATTATTTCCTCATAAAAAAGAATAAAATACAGAACTGAATGTCGGTTCTTTAATTAATTCAGCAGTTTAGTTAATCTTTCAGAAAAATGAGTGATATGTCCAAAAAAATGAAAGATTCAAGTGTCAAGAATAATGTGCAAAATGAATCGACAGATCAGGTCTGTCAAAAACAGAGTGTCGATAAAAAAGAGTCCACATTGAAAAGTACAAACGAAGACGTACAGCGTGCGATTGAAGGTTTAAAGGACATACCGGATGAAGAGCTGCAAGAATTTCTTGACGATGAAGATTTCATGGAAGGTCTGGACGTTGTTGATGCATGGGAAGGTGATGAAGAAAAAAGCCGGGAAGTCGATTTAAAAACTTCTCATGGCAAGGAACAAGAACAGAAGCGTCCTTCTAGGTAGCATCAATAATGTAGAATAATTTTCATGTTATTATTATTTATTATACAGTTGAAACAAACTTGTTATATAATGTTATTATAATATTAGAATTTTGTAAATTAGAATCAGTTTATACATTACTTACATATTGAAACTCTGGTCAATATTACGTCTTTGTTGAATACATTTAAAAGTTTTTACATCCTTTGCCTTAAATAATTAGTGATAGGAAAGAATGATCGCAAGCCTACTTATAGGGATAGACACCGTCGTGACCGCAAAGGATCTTACAATCGTGAAAGACCAAAAAAAGAAGAGAAGAAACACGAAGAAGTACGTCGAGATCCTTCTAAAAGTACAAAAGATATAGAGAGGGATAAAATACGTACAAAAAGAGATAATGAAAGTAAACTTTTAGCAGAAAAGGAAAAAGCTATTAAGCATTTGTTAGATTCTGACAATGTTGTACCACCGGGTACAGAGGCTGAAGCTATTCAAAGTATAGCAGAGAAACAGAATTTAGAACAAGCGCAGATGCATATCCGTAGAAGTCGAGAACGACGTAGAAGTTTAGAACGTCAAGGAGGAAATTCGTTACGTCGTAGAACTCCCGATAGAGTTAGATTAAATTCTCTGAACTCTCGACGAAAATCTCCATTAATATTAAGTCCAGAACGGTGCAGAAGTCCTTTCAAGATGAGTATCGAAAGACATCGAAGTCCGTTAAGATTTAGTCCAGAAAAAAGAAGAAGCCCAAGATTTAATTGTGTCCGCAGAAGTCCTTTTGCATTCAGTCCAGAAAGACGAAGAAGTCCGATTAGAAGTTGGGAACGAAGAACAAGTACAGATAGAAGATGGAGCGCTGAACGACATAGAAGACGTACAAATATACACGAACGGTGAGAACAATATTTTTATACGTATATTATGTTTCTTTTTACTTTTGTTGTAGACATAAAAAAAATAATGTTTTTAAAATCCAAGTACGATACGAATTTTATATTTTGATTAAATTGTAACAATAGATGTAACAAATTGTTAGTTTAATATAGTGGAGTATTTTAACTCGAATTTTAAATTGTTAAGCCGAAGAAGTCGATCACGAGATCGGCAACGAAGTCGGAGTATGGAACGCATTAGAAGAAAAGCCAGCCGTTCACCGATTAATAGACGCTACAGTCCTCGACGTCGGAGTCGAACTCGGAGTAGGTCGATAGAACGTCGCACAAGGAAAAGGTCACCTTTCATTAATGAACTTACAAGACAATTAAGAAATGAAGCTATAGTAACATCGCATATAAACACTGGATATGCACCTCCTCCACCGATGGAGGGGATACCACCATTGATGAATACTGTTGTGTATCAACAAGAAGCAGAATCTAGACCACCAATACCAATGCCACCTTATATACACCAGTCTGGATTACCACCGCCGATGCCATCAAACGTAACGACTCCTGGCGGGCCACCGCCATTTATGAATTTTGAAAATTCATCTCAGTCGATGAATTTTGATTCTGTACCGTTGCATCCATTACCTCAAACTGAATATGTTTCTGGCCCAGTAATGTACAATCAATCGAATACTAGTTCAATTCAACCTGCACATCGACCACCGCTTCTACCTGCGCCAATTTCTTCGCCACAACCTGAACCTGCCACAGGGTCCATGGAACATGCACAAACAACGTACAGTTCATCGCATGGTATTCCTTCTACTCAACAGTCGCCGATTCAAAATTTCGAGTTTACAAATAAATCTAAGGACAAAACATCTCAAAACTACAGGGAACGTTTCAGAGATTCCTATAACGGATATCATGCTTCCCAAGAAGAACGACTAAAGACACCTGAACCACCAGTCATCTCTGATACAAAAGTAATTGTATTATACATTGTAACAAAGTGTTTTTTTTCTTTTTGTACATATACTTACATATTTTACTCTACATTATGGAAACAGAAAATATCTACTACAATTAACGAATAATAATTTTATGTGCGTTATTCGCAAAATTTGCAGATAAGTGTTTATTCCTATGTAAAAGAAATTAATATCTTTTTTATGAATTGATCTTACAGCAGTTTGAAAAGACGAGTTTATCCAGTCTGTTGGAAGCATCTGTTTCCACAAAAGGTGCGAGGAAAGCATTTTCTTACTTAGTTACTTGTAAAATTCGTGTTTACGTATTACGGTCTTTCTTTAATTTTATTATATATATGTATATATATATATTTTTAGATTCAGCTAATTTACCAGTCTTATATCCAGGTAAGAACATTTTAATTATTTCGAGTTCAAAAGTTATTTTTATTACGTTACATCGCAAGGAAATAACGTCGAAACGTACATTCTCGACAATGTTTTCATTTCAAATTACTAGAAATATGATATTTAAAAAATTATGTATATTAACATTATATCAACTCTACGTAAACTTATATTTTGTCTTCGTAATAGGATTCAAACCTGAAATATTACGCCACTGTGAACATGCTCTGCGTGAACTTCCTACCGAAGATCCCCGTTTAAAGATGAAAGGACGATTTTTTTACAATCCAAAAAAGGAAAAAGTACAAAATGAACAGGATATATACTCGTCAAATTCCATACTTTTACAAAGAAGCAAATGCAAGATATATTGGGAGGAAGAAGAAGGACAGCATCTTTCGCCGATAAAACATAATGTACAAACGCATCAAAAAATCTGTCAAACCGACGAAGTAGAAACAAACACGAAATTTGTTCAAGCGAGCGTTATTATGGTAGATTTTGAAGTACAAGTTTATCCTCAAGATTTACAACACGTTACTAAGGAAGAGAAAAGACCTATTATGGATCGTTTAGATTGGAATATGCGTGAAACTTTTGATTATACGCCTAAATTTCGAGAAGCCGATGATTTAAGGTGGAGTTTAAGCAATTCTTCTCAAAAAAGAACTTGGAATAGAACGGTATCGCCTCCTAGACGAACCGATGATCGCGAACATCGTGTAGATTCCGTATCTTCTTTAGATCATAATTCGAGGAATTTAAAATTAGGATCTCCTATAAGAAATAGAGATAACTTTTCTAGCCACAAAGGATCTTTACGGGATCATTATGTTCATGAGAGATACTCGCCCAATTACAGGCATTCTCTCAACGAACGTGATGATTTCCATGAAAGTAGAAGCGATGTTAGTCGTGGTGAAAGTCCAATGATGTTAGACGATTCTGCAGAAGAAATTGAATTAGAGCAAACATTCCAAAGAGGAACAGATTGGCATGGAAGAGGAAAGTTATCAAGAGGTAGATCAAGCCCTTTGATAAAACAACACGTGTACAGAGGAAAACATTCGGGAGGAAGATCCTACCGTGGCCGTGGAAGTTTCCGTGGAAAATTCTAAAATTACTTGTGTAAAGCACAATTTACAATACTGTAGAATTATATAATCAAATATATCAATATATCGACAAATGTTATCTATTCTTACAACAGAACTGAAAAAAGTATGCAAATGCATTGCTTTATTTTATTTGTAGATTAAACTTCTGTCACATTTATTACAGTATGCGTTTTAAATACAGTTTCAACGAGCATTATATAATAAACAACAAAATGTAGATACATGCAATAATTACGTTATTTACGTAACGTTTGCAAAATAAATACTTCATTCGACAATACACGGTAGTGCAAAGAGAACTACTATTTATGGTATCGCGCCGTACTACTAATTGTGTACAATTGTGCGATAACTGAACAAATTTCACATATATGGTCTTTACGCGTAACATCTTGTTCTGTGTAATAATCATTTTCATATAAAAATATCAATGCGATTGCATGATTAAAAACTGTAACACGTTTTTTTACTATAATATTAAAACTCCGTTATTCTTTTATTAATGAATTGAAGAGTAAAAAAATAATAGAAAATATTTTGGGTTACAAAAAAGAAATCATTTTTATTAATTAAAACTATTGTATGTAAAAAAAATGTCATGTAACTGGTACTTTTCCTAATTTTATTACGTAAATTTATAAAATAAGTGCGAAACATATTTACAATACAATATTAATTGTTGAATTATTGGAAGAATTGTGATCTGGTAAATGAAAGAATCGACTAGCTAAGAAAAGAGGTTTCAGGAACGAGAATTTCTACTGTCTCGGTCTTGTCGTTGCTTTTATCGAGTGCTTGGGAGAGTTCTTCTCAACAAAGCAATTGGTGGATAGTCTCCCAGTCGATACTTTCACCTGTCGAACTTTAGTATTCTAGAAACATATATTAATTGCTGATAAATTTACGATTTAGTTACAGATTGAACTATTTAAAACTGGCTTTACTGTGTTTGACAATACGAAGGAATGTTAAAAACGAGGAAAAAATATTCAATATAAATTTTTCTCAAGGTTACAGTTTTTGAGACTCAAAGAGCATTTAAATTTTTTAAAAAGAAATACGTATTTTGTATGCAAATGGATTGTGCATAATGAGACTAGTTGAACCATATGCACGTTGCATAGTTTTATTGACAAATTTTGGAAGCAAAACGTGTTTAATTCTTTTGCTGCAAAGGATGACTAGCACAGTCGACTTTAGTACGAGTCATGCTGAATGAAAGGTAGTGAAGCAGCAAGAATCCGATTTTGTACTGGATAGACAGACTCATAAATGTTGCGTACTCTTTTTATCAAGTGCAAAATTAGACTCTGGTGGTTTTACTGTTTTTCGTTCAGTATGACTAGTACTTACTGGAGTCGGCTGTGACGTATAATGAAACGATTTATGATTATAAAAATACAATTTTAGTCATTCTTTTCAAAATATTATATGTTATAAGTTAACACAACTTGAACAATTGAAATACTGTTTTATTTAATACGTTTACAAGGGGGCATTGATTGTATTAAATCTTCCTGGTGCGTTAAGACATCCCCGTAATTTTTTCATCGTTTTCAACGAAGTTTATAATACAGAATGTAATTGATTCATACAGTTATATAGGGTGTTCGGTCACACCTGGGAAAAATTTCAATGGGAGATTCTAGAGGCCAAAATAAGACGAAAATCAAGAATGTCAATTTCTTGACTGAGACTTCATTACAAATTTATTAAAAAATTAAATTAAAAAATTTCAAATCATTGTGAAAAAATTATATTTGATTGCGGGGCACAATTACAATCATTTTTGGTGAATACATACACCCTTGAAATCCTACCTACTTTCGAGAAAAAAATTGAAATAGGTACTGAAATTTTTAGACGAAATTAAAAAATTTGAAATCATACTAAAAAAATTATATTTAGTTACAGGGGTCAATTACAAACATTCTTGGTGAATAGACATACCTCTGAAATGCTACTCATTTTCAAGAAAAAAATTCGAGTAGGATTTAAAATTTTTGACGAAATTAAAAAATTTGAAATCATACTAAAAAAATTATATTTAGTTACAGGGGTCAATTACAAGCATTTTTAGTGAATAGACATACCCCCAAATTCCTACGCGTTTTCGAGACAATAATTCCTTACCGTAAATATAATTTCTGGCCAAAAATGTTACCCTGAAATTTCATGCGTAACTTTTAAAACATCGTAACTCCAGAACAGATTGGAGGATTTTAATTTTTCAAAATGCAAACAACGTGTATTTTAGTGGAGAATATGTAGAAATTCTAACAATATTGCAAAAGTTGTTCCTTGATACCGTAAAGTGAGAAAACCCACTAAAACTGGTCCAATTTTCAAACGGCCATAACTCCTACAATAGTAAAGGTATCTCATTGACATTTTTTTTCTGAAGCTGTGCCCATGGGTACCTACAAAAAAGTAATAAACAACTTTTCTGTAGAGCGTCAAACAAATTTATTAAAAATGAGACAAAATTTTTAAGTAAAATCGACGAGGAAGAAAAAAAAATTAATTTTAAAATTAAAAGGGAGGTGCAGAAATTTTTCGGGGAAATAAAATTTCAAATCGTTCTGGAATAATTATTTTCGGTTGCGGGGGTCAATTATAATTATTTTTGATCATTAGACATACCTTTGAAATCCTACCCACTTTCTAGAAAAAAATTCACTACGGGCGGATCTATAAACGTTAATAACTTTTTTAACGAAGCTTCCATCAACAAATTGGTATTCTTGATTTTCGTCTTATTTTGGACTCTAGAATCTCCCATTAAAATTTTTCCCAAGGGTTGCCGAACACCCTGTGTACTAAAGTCATAAGATATGTACTGCACTCAATGCGTTCAGAAATAATTTAAAAAATAATAATTGTGTATTCAAAGTAATGAAATAGTCAATACTTTGAATACACTCAAGTTTGCGCTTTTTCTTTCAAATACAATTTTAAATACATTTGTTCCTATATTCTCCAATAAAATTGTATAATGTATAGTATGGTTGAATTGTTTCATTATGCTTTTTCTAACTGCATTGAAAATATAAGTTCCTTTGAAGAGGAATTTCAGAAATGGTGAAATTCGTGATTTGAAGAAGAAAGTCATTTACTTCTTATCGTGTTTTCTATTCCAAATACGGAATTTCAATTATAAGATATTGTACCACCAAGTTCAACCATATTTTAATTTCTAGTCTTATGTAATTTAGCTCGTGTTACATTTATGAGGTAAAAAGAAACTGATTGAAAATATTTAATTAGATATACTGTCATCGTTAATGTAGGAATATATTTTTGGATCACGATACGATAACAAAATTAACTAGCATTTCAAAAGACACTGTAAGAAACATATTTGATATCTGTATTTTTACTTAAATCAAAATAATACAGTAAGAATTTTATTAATTTTTTGCTCTTAATATAACTATTGAAACACGATTAAAAATGTCTATAATAAATGAATAAAATTACTCTATCTTCGTATAACATCAAGTGTTATATCGAGAATATTTGAATTTATATCATTTTTTTGCGAACTACAATTGATAGTAGACACTACTACAAAATTTTTGCTTTATTCCTTAACACAAAAAATGGACAAATTATATCTTTAAATGTATAGAACTTTGAATTTACATATTTTCATGTAGCTTATTAATGATTTGAGTGTCGAGCAGCGTGATCGCGCTTCTTTTTTGATGAAACGTATCAACGAGTGTTACGATAAATCATTTTTTAATATGAAACCAGAAATGCAACCTGGTTGCTACTCGACTTTTTTGCGTAGATTGTTGCAATCGTCTGGACGCTTGAGCGTTTAACATCAAGATTACCTCCGTTTAATTTATTCATATAGTTCAATACTTATAATCAATTGATTATATACTCGTACACTAAGCATTAACAAAATGATAGTTTAATTCTTAGTTAAAGATTGTGTTAAATAATCAATACTTATGCATATTAATCTGTTCTGGTAAACCAGTCATAAATCTATTAGTAACATTTTCCCATAATTTCTGTAGTTGCAGTATATTTTATTAATTCTAATGCATTTTGTGTTTACAAAACTATTAAAAGTATTTTTATTTTTATATCGGTAACTAAGTAATTTTCTTTCCCTTTTAACCTTTAATACCTAATTTTATGTACAGTGAGTCATAAAATTATTTGTTTAGTCGATAATGCGGTAAAGATGATTGAAATAATGAGACAACAAAAGGTTTTTAAAAACTTTTCTATTTGGATATACATAATTTACAGTTCAATATAACAAAATTGTAAAAAAAACTCAAAACTTTAGATTTATAATTGCCGAAAAACGAGTTATAACAAACTTTTATTCGTTTTAACGTCACAAAATTATTCGCATATTTTGTATTAATTACTATTTCAAGAAAATTAATATTCTTTCACTATTGTTTCTAAACAATTATTGCTATAGACTAAACAATATTTCGCCATTTCTCTTGCAATCTGTTTTGTAGTTCAGCTTTATTTGTTTGAGTGTTTATGTATTTCAACATCTAACAGATTCCATACCACCTTGGTCAGGGGACTGAAGTTTTCATTATTTTAGAACAATTGTATAACAGCCATTCCTGTATTACACTCGATTTATGCTTGGGGTTGTTATCTTGGGAAAAGTGGAAGACGTATAAGATTCCCATCTTTTCAACACTTTGCTTTAAATTCCTTTTTAAAATATCTAAATTTATTTTATTAGTTTCTCCATTGTATTCGTAATAATCTATAGTTTACCTACTCTTTAATAACTAATACTGCCGTGCTTAACAGTATCACTCAGCTTCTTGATCCAACTCCGCGTGTGTTTTATTTTCCGCTTATCCTTCTTCTGTGTATCATTTTATAATGTATCACACTGTAGAATAACTTTTACAAACAATTTTTGCAATTTCTCTAATAGATTATCCATTTTTCAATGAAAAATAATAATTTTTCTAACTTCCACATTTATTTCTTTACTCTTTCCACACATGATAATGAATTGTTGAAACGAGAATGAAAATTATATAGGGTGTTCGGCCACCCTTGGGAAAAATTTTAATGAGAGATTCTAGAGGCAAAAATAAGACGAAAATCAAGAATACCAATTTGTTGATGGAAGCTTCGTTAAAAAAGTTATTAACGTTTATAGATCCGCCCGTAGTGAATTTTTTTCTAGAAAGTGGGTAGGATTTCAAAGGTATGTCTAATGATCAAAAATAATTATAATTGACCCCCGCAACCGAAAATAATTATTCCAGAACGATTTGAAATTTTATTTCCCCGAAAAATTTCTGCACCTCCCTTTTAATTTTAAAATTAATTTTTTTTTCTTCCTCGTCGATTTTACTTAAAAATTTTGTCTCATTTTTAATAAATTTGTTTGACGCTCTACAGAAAAGTTGTTTATTACTTTTTTGTAGGTACCCATGGGCACAGCTTCAGAAAAAAAATGTCAATGAGATACCTTTACTATTGTAGGAGTTATGGCCGTTTGAAAATTGGACCAGTTTTAGTGGGTTTTCTCACTTTACGGTATCAAGGAACAACTTTTGCAATATTGTTAGAATTTCTACATATTCTCCACTAAAATACACGTTGTTTGCATTTTGAAAAATTAAAATCCTCCAATCTGTTCTGGAGTTATGATGAAATTTCAGGGTAACATTTTTGGCCAGAAATTATATTTACGGTAAGGAATTTTTGTCTCGAAAACGCATAGGAATTCGGGGGTATGTCTATTAACTAAAAATGCTTGTAATTGACTCCTGTAACTAAATATAATTTTTTTAGTATGATTTGAAATTTTTTAATTTCGTCTAAAAATTTCAAATCCTACTCGAATTTTTTTCTCGAAAGTAGGTAGGATTTCAAGGGTGTATGTATTCACCAAAAATGATTGTAATTGAGCCCCGCAATCAAATATAACTTTTTCAGAATGATTTGAAATTTTTTAATTTAATTTTTTAATAAATTTGTAATGAAATCTTAGTCAAGAAATTGACATTCTTGATTTTCATCTTATTTTGGCCTCTAGAATCTTCCATTGAAATTTTTCCCAGGTGTGACCGAACACCCTATATAATAAATGGAAATTAACTCTTATTGAGCGTTTGTTTACTTTATACTGCCTATTTTTGGCATCAATCAGTAATAAATGTTAAACGAGGTTTGTAGTTTGCGTTTTGTTTTTAGCATGAGCGAATAATTTTGTGACGTGAAAAAGCATAAAGATTTGTTATAACTCATTTTTTTGCAATTATAAATCTAATCTTTTCTGTTTTTTTACAATTTTGTTATATTGAACTGTAAATTGTACATATTCAAATAAAGTGGTTTTAAAAAACGCTTTGTCGTCTCATTATTTCATTCATTCTTGCTGCATTATCCACTGAGCAAATAATTTTGTGACCCACTGTATGTATATGTACATATATTCAATTTGCGATGGGTCATTTTGTTATCTTCATTTTTGGAAGTAGTAATGGGCAAAAAGTGAAAAACATTCTTATTCGATTTTTCATATCGTATTGCATGATAATTTTTGAAAAATATCAGATATTTCAATCAAAGAGGCAACTATTACGGAATTTGTCAGGTTTTTTTGATTGAAAATCTAAGTTATAAAAAGCAAGGAAGCAAAAAATGCTGACAATTATGGTTTTGAACCGAAGCAATCGTGGAACTATAATTATATTTTTATAGTAAGTACATATTGTTGTTATAATTATTTAAAATTTTTCCAAATTATTTTATTTATTGCATTGTATCTAATTAATGTTTGTTTTGTCTATAAGTATTGGAATTAAAAGAATTAGATAAACTCAACTAATTAAAACTATGCACTACGAGTTAGATCTTAATGCAGGCATGTGATGAGCAAGAGCGTTCTTCTGCGGGCCACGTATGCAGAGCCATAAGAAGAAATGCTAAAAACATTATTCCCATCCTGCAAACACTAAATACTGTAGTATGTGTATATAAATTCTTCACCAGCTATTATACGAGGATTTCGAAATAGTAAATTAAATCGGCGAACATCGAGGAAACCAGGGAACTGGTATGGGGTAATAAGGACAAGTTCTCTTCAAGCCTGTTTTGTAAATGCTCGAACTGTGGAAAAATGCATTTCATTTGTATTTAGAGAAAAATTAGAAAGTACAAGTCAGTTGGAGCCACAAGATATTCTTTGACAAGAATCACAAATATAAAAACATTATGTTTATAAAAATATTAACTCTGTTCTTCTTTTGTATTTCTGGTAACGGATTATAGGCATAAGTTTTAATGCGTTCGCTATCACCGATCAGTTGTATTAATTTACCTACGATTAACCTTTAGTTACCTACATTTATATTAATTGTATTCAATGCATGCTTGCAACTATGTACAAATAAAATTTATTAAATAAACCACATGAATAATTTTCATACTTAATTTCTTTATAATGACATATCATAGACAATCTGACATATCTGACGTTGATCTCTGACGAGAATCGGCGTGTTACAGATATCTGACGCGTGGTAGCGAACAAGTCAAAAGTTATAATTGTAAAGTATCAAAGCAGTCCAGTAAAAATGTCAATTTGTCGAAATTAGAAACCTATTTGGGTCTATTGATCATCGTAGTGTAAATAAATAGCGCGACGAAGAAACAGAGTGTCCTTGCGGGATGAAAACAGAAGTGCATCTGCTACTATATTCATATTGAATTTGTAAGGATGTTACGAAATTTTTAGAGCGATCATTACGTTCGATAATAAAATATCACGATCTGCTAAACGATGAAGATGTATTATCACTTATTCGTATAACCTATTTTATTTTGAAAATAGTAACGTATTTTATCGCTGCGGTTTTTCTAACTTTATGAGTAAATTTTTATATTTAAATCAAATTACTTTGTTCTTATAGAATACAAAATTATTGTGCAGTTTAATTTCAAAAAAGGTATATATTTACACACATGTATTTTTTCACAGAGTCTATATAACTCGAACACAAGTACCGTAAGTTTTTATCGAAAGGATTAAGCAGTACACTTTGGGAGATGCTGAATCCTTAAATTTTCACTGCTTCTAGCCGCTTAAAAGCCAAACTACAAGTTTGTATAATGCCAGAAGATTTTCGTTTATTCCTTTTGATACGTGAAATTTAAATATTTCGACTTGTCTCATTACTTTTGGACACTCTGTACAATGGGTTTCAACTTATGAATTGCCAAATAAATATTAAACGTCGAATAAGAATATTATCTTGCAATTAAATATAAATAATATAATTTACGCATTGCTGTGCAATAGTTACAGAATTCCTAACATAATTATTATTTGGGTGCAGTCTATAAAGATTTACTCTCGATTTTAATAGCAACGAAATATATATATACATACGTACATACATACATACATACATACATACATACATATATACATACATACATACATACATACATACAGACATACACACACAGGCACGTATATATACATATATATGAATTGTACCTGATTTCATATATATACATATATACACACACATCTGTATGTATCAGTTTATTGAATCTTTATAATAACATTGTAACGCGCCGCAGATTTTGTTATAGAGGTAGGTATTGATAATGCGATGATAACTTATACAACCGGTGTATTAACATGAGAAAGTGGAAGTTGGACGGAGTTATGCGAAGCGGGCAGCGATAGCAAATGTCCGCGTTCCATTTCATTTACTTCTTGTTGTTCTGCTCCTCTCATAGAACCAGTTGAGCGTGCGAGACTATTGCGTTGCCTGCACATGTATGGTGTTTCTCCTGGCGAAGGAGTTTCACGACCCTGCAAAAAGAAAAATATATATAAAATAATTACGTTCAAATTGAATCTAGTAAAAGTACATAAACATATGAATTTAAAATTGAATGCTAGAAAATTCTACGCGCCAATGCTTATCTGTACACACATATACACACAAAAGATTTTGCTATTTGTCGAATTACAATTCCATCGAGGAATGTAAATCGTCTGATTGAACGATAAAATATAAACAGTTACCTATAACTGTATTTGAATCTGATTTCATAACTTCTAAGCATCGTCCAAGACACTTTGACTTAGGACAGGCAGAACGGGAATTTGTATCTCTCTTGATGTTATACTGCGCAAGCCAAGGGATAGGAGTTATCAAAGGGGAATACATGCATAGAAATTTAAAACACGTACCTGTTTAGAGGGGCCGCAACATGTTGCATGATTGCAAGGTTTATCGGTCTTTGGACAATCCAATACACAATCTTCTGTTGGTGTTTCTTTAATTTCACTATTAGACTGATACTGAAACGTCATTAAAAACGTTCTATTAGTCATCGTAATAAGATAAATTGTACGATGCAATGCAATTTTTGAATTATTATCAATCTAATAACTACTATTTATTTACAAGTTCTTAATCATTAATATGGAGTATTTTTTAATTTAAATTGTTACTCGATCATGAAAGTCGTATTAAGCTATGATTTCTATTGTAAGGTCGGGCCGGAAAGTTCCGTTAATGTCGGAAAGGAATGGTCGACGAATCACGTGATTTGAGACGGTTTCTGTTAAGTGGACTCGATTTTCACATATAAGTGATCACGAATTATTGACATAAATCTTATGGTGGTGTACGCGTCAAATTCCAGGCCAACTTAAAAAATTGTAAAAAATAGGTAAAACAATTTTTTTTAAGATGAAGTCATTTTTATTTGGTTCTCTAATGTCTTCAGTATACGATTCTAAAATTACATTCCTTTCAGTTTGCTAGTTTAGCAGCTATAATTTTTTTTAACGAAATGTAGCACTATTATTCAAGCAGTTGTAAAATCCAGAATATTTTGAAATTTTGAAAAAAAATTATCAAAGACCAAAATTCGAAATGGCGCTCCATTTAGAGTCCGAATTCGCGTGGAATGACCAAATTGTTAAAGCCAACGCTGACCGATCGGTTGACTTTTTCATTTCATTGCTGCTACCATTGAGATTGTTCAGTTCTGGCTGTTAGTAATTCTTATTAAAACATTTGCGAGTCAAATGACAAAGATGAATAAAAAAATACATAATATTTTTCTATCCATCCTATCGAATACATCTGTTCTAAATTTGTCACAATTAATAATTCTTAAGAATTTGGAATCAGACTGTTATTATTGGGCTAAATGCTATTTTGCGTCTTTTTGATATTTGTTGATGCAAAGTCGAGACATTGAGAATGACGGCACTCGAGTGAGGACACTTCACACAGTATAAACATTTGCTCGATTATCGACACTATCGCTGATTGCTCCAACGTACATCGTTAGATTAATTCCAGTGAGATCAAAACGATTTGACACGTAGGCTACTATAAGGTTCATATCAGTCAGTTCGTTCACGATCTCCATCTTCGGTTTCCGTTGACATTTCATAATAGAAATCGGGTCTACCCTATACCAAAACACTCGTTCTGTTCGACCATTCCGTTTCGGTGACATCAACGGAACTTTTCCGATGCGATTTTACAATAGATAATATTAGCTTTTCAGGGTGCATTTAACAAATGGGTCATTCCACGCCAAACCAATCACTTTTTCCCCTTGATGTCTGGAATTTCGTTAAAATTGAGTATGATGTATCCATACGACATTAGAGATAGTTTTGTCATCATTTTGCTGGTTTCAAATTTGTTTAAAAAATACAGGCTTTTGAAGTTTACGATTTCGGTGAAAATGAGTCATATTTAGGAATTTTTATCTTAGAAATTAACCTACTGGTAAAAGCCTTGAGATTATTAAGTGTGCACCATAAAAAAGAATTGTTTGTAGTATTGCCGGCATGGAAAGCCATGAATAATTTTCTATGTATAATTTAGTTGTTTGTGAACACAGTTTATCAATTTCCTGTGGGCCAATAGACAGATGAATTGATAATGCGATTATAATGTTTCAATAGTTGGCAATTTAGATTTGAACATTTAGCGAAACTTCGAATTTTCGAATGCTCTTCAAACTAAATTGTCATCGTTTGTAGCGCCAGAGCTTCTTGGTTTTGGTTTATCAACTATTAATGCAAAATTTTTCCACAATATTTCTTGACTTTCTCGTTTTTTTATATTAAAATCTTTTTTGTTCTTTTCTCCTCTAATTTGCTAGGTTTTAAGATTTAACCTTACATAAGAAATGTAGAGGTAATATTCAAAAATTTGTATCCACGCGTGAAATAGATTTATTGTTATGGAAAAGGATGTATTGTGAAAAAAGGATCCATTTGTTTTATTTGGCATGTCACAAATGATGACAAATTCGACATGTCTGCATAGACTTGGTGCCACATACTATAATATTTAACACTTTTTCATCTAGTAGCGCTAAAAATAAGGAAAAATGAATTTATATACGACGTGTAGCATCCACTTCAATTTCCAGCAATTCAAATGGATTAATTTGTTCTTCTATATTTTCTTTTGTCTAAGTTGTTCTTCTGACTTTTCTTTTGACTCGTAATAACTGTTTCAGACTTTATAATCACTTGCAGTTTGATGAGACATCAAAATTTACGAAATTATGGTGTTCGTACACTCCGCGGATGAGACGCGCTTGTTGTGTGACGCGTCGATGAGGGTCGTAAGTCCTCGTTACGAATATTTTCGACACCCGGAAGAATGCACGTTTAAGATCCCTACGTCCTGTTAAGTCCGTTGGGATTAATTGGGTTTGAATGAGCTTGACAACGTGTGCAGGAAAAACTATATATTTTTGTATAATACACTTAAACTGTGTTCGTGAAAATTGTTTCGCGTGTTCTGTTACGATACCGAGTTCGTGGTATACTGGTCAAAAATCAAGTCCCGCCCGGCGATCGGGACCCTGGCTATATACCCCTGGTACCGATCGTCTTTTGGATTTCCTTCGCGCCGGGTGCAAAAGTTCGAGGCGCGTGCCGTGGAACATTCTCGGGCCTTCGAGGACCGAGAATATTCCGCGACACGTGCAATCGATCGATTTTGCACCCGGCCCGAATCGGTTGCCCCCGGCACCGTTTCTAACGGACCTCACCGATGAGTAATATAGAAAATAGCAAACATAAAAACCAAAACAAACTATATAATTAAAATATATAAGCAAGATTCCGTGTGCTATGGAACATATGGAGTACGATTGTTCCGTATGATAGTATTATGTTTGTACAATAAACCGAGAAATTAATGTTGTAGTAAATAAGTTGTTAGCGCTTGCATTCGAAATAGATTTATTAGTATAGTCTTGCTTGTATGGTGAATGTTCTGTATTTGCGTTAAAACTCCAAACTTCGATTGGAGTATTTTTTGTATTCTCCATATATTGCAGTATAACTTCACATTGTAATTTTAATAACAGTTTTGTTGTATGATTGAATAATCTTTGTAAAAAGACTGTAATTTCAGTTTCCTGAATTGATATTTTCACAAATCAAATTTTGGTTAATTCTACATGTATCTTGGAATTTTTTATTTCGTTTCGTTCTTTAAACGAACAAAGCAGCTTTTACATTATATTGCAAATCACTTGGTCACACATCCTCCAAGAAAATATTTAATTTTTGTAAAATATAGTTCAATACATGTTAGCGGCAATGCATTTTCCAAGAGAATCGAAAGTAAGGACCACCGAAGGACACTCAGTCTACGATAGATTTATGACAGAGTTTTGGGGTGCATGTGGCCTAAAGAGCGAATGAGACTAAACAGGCCTGGCGTCGGGCGACGCGATAGCGGACAACCGCGTTGGGTCTCCAGCTAGCGCGTGTCAAGGCATTGATTGTTCAGGGATAGAGAGAGAGTAGTTAAAAGAGGCAGACGACCTGACGTCGTACTGCTAGAAAAATAAAGACTTTGTCCTGAAGGATCTGGCCACGGAGTGGGGAAGGCGTGGGACCTTCCGGTAAGAGCACTGTGAGGAACGGCACGGGACTTACCCCAGAACCGTCAAGGGTAAAACTTCTAACATCAGAAGCGGGATAGAATCTAACACGCGAATTGATCAAAGTGTTATCCTGATTTACAGGTGTGGTTGTTGTGGTGCGTTGACCGCGATACAATTCAACACGTGTGTGTGTGACGTGCAACTATCTGAGACTTGACTCTATTCTGTGTTTTTAGTGACTTGAACCCTTTTTCTAGACTACTTTAAATTTAGTTGTTACGCGTGCTTGTGAACAATTTCGTTTAGACAATTGAGTGTGTGGTAATGGCGAATTCAAGCGAAGGAGCTACATCCATTGAAACTCTTTTCCGTAAATTTATGGAAAGTTATGCGGCAAGTGCAGTTCCGACTATGTCTGCCGAAGGCTCGACCAAAGAGGTCGACGCGATTCCTGAATTCGGGGGTGAGGATGTTGGTGAGGACGCCAATAGGTGGTGCGACATTGTCGAGCGAATTACGGAAAAATTACCTTCGTCAAGTCGATTGAGTCTTGCCACGCATGCCTTATCCGGACCCGCGAAGAGGTGGTACAACACGTGCGAAGGCAACCCTAGAACGTGGGTCCAGTTTCGCGAAGACATTTGTTCGTTTTTCGTTTCCGAGGACAGGTTGTGTGATCGTTTAATGCGTGCCGTAAATTACATTAGCGATTCGGCCAGTTCATACTCCGAATACGCACGGGAAAAGCTAAAATTCTACAGTCAAACGCAGATACAATTTAAGCAGTCCGAGCTGATCAGTTTGGTAATTGGGCATGTGACGGACCCAACTGTGCGACAATCACTAATAAACGCGCGTTATCAAACGACCGCGGAATTGTCGATAGGGATGGCCCAATTCACGAAGGCTAAAACCAGTCAAGCAGGGGGGCGTGAAGCGCGCGAACGACGAGACGGAAGAGGATCGTCATACCTACATAAAAGGTGCTATACCTGCGACAACGTGGGGCACACGACCAAGTTTTGCCCGAAACGACCACGGTTGGACAGGGGTCATACGCCAGAAAGACGCAGGTCACCGAAGCGCAGCCCAGAAAGACGAGTCGTTACCTGCGCCTTTTGTTCCAAAAGGGGGCACGCGGAAGATAGCTGTTGGATCAAGCAACGTACAGCACATGAAAACAACGGTTCAGGTAGAAAACCTGACCTAACCGCAGCAAACCACCAGACAAATATTTGTTACTCGATAGAACATACACTCACACCCATTCTCCTACGTGACTCTCTGATAAAAGACAGTCTTATAGACGGGCTAATTGCAAAATAGAACCATACGCGACCACCATTAGAGGGTTGTCAAGCTCTGTTGCCACGACAATCGGGAGTACGACGGCTGTGATCCAAACAGAAGGAGTAGCGG